TCCCATTTGAATTCCTTGTATTTGCTGGAAGACATGTTGGCCAATTTGCATAAATTTGTTGTCAAGGTATTATGTATGAAAATCCAATTTAGGTAAATATAAATCTGCAAATTATGGGGTGATGTTAACTCCCATTGGAATTCCTTGTATTTGCTGGCTGAATTGTACAAACGTATTGTCAAGTAAAAAATACATGGTCTGCAATAATTCATTTTATGTGAAACAGTAGTAATTTTTATGAGTGATATTTTCATAGAAAGTTCTGTGTTTATTGACATAGAGCATTTATTTACCAGAATTATTAAAAGACCTAGAAATAAAGTATACACATGCTATGCCTTGTTAACAAGCTACAGTGTGTAACTTCTATCATAGTTACCAGCAGATGTGAGATTATTAATTAATTTACATAAGACTGACTTACATTAGAATGGCATGAGGAGTGAAAAAATATTTTGGCACTTTTAGTTTAAAGCAAATACAGAAAATCATTCTACATGCTCTAACTCAAGGATGTTGACTTGTACAGTTGAAAATTGTTCATTTTAATTGCATAAGGATGAAAGTATTTATATTTTCCTATGCTTTTATAGTGCATCAAGTATTTATTTTTGGGTGTCACTTGCATCATATTTCTATAAAAGGATATGTATGCTCATTAATTCTAACATTTTTAATTAAAGCTTGAAGGAACTCTGACTTATTATAATAATTACATTTGAAAGTTATGAACTAATGTTATTAGGTTTTTAGTGAGAACTTGTGCTTCTTGTAAATATAGTGATAAAACTGAAATGTTTTGGAGTCCTGGAATTTTTTTGTGGTCAAGTGTATGAACCTTGCTAACTGCTGTTAATATGTTTTTGAGTCAAAACTAGATATTACATTTAATAAAAAAATTTTTAAAACATTTTTTTATCAGTTTATTGGAAATCTTTGAAAACAAAAGGAGCAAAAGAGACAAGAATGAAAATATTTTGCAAAATTTCAATATCTACTTTTTGGCACAAATAATTAAAAAGTTTTTTTTAAAGAAGGAAGAAAGGTAAATTTGTAATTTTAGTCTCATAAAAATGTCATGGAAAGAGTTATTAATTATGCAAGTAAATTGTTCCTGAGAATAATACACATCTTACAAATAATAGATTCTTAGAAATATATATATATTTGTTTGTAAGCATAATGTTGCACAATGGGCTATCTATACTATGCCAACCACAGGTATCGACACCTATTGTTTTGTGTTATAACCTTCAGACTCACCATTTAGCCACTGGGGGGGTAAATATGTATGTTTAAAAAGTTCTGAATAGACAGTTTACCTAGTGGTAAAATTGCATGAATTCATATTCAAAAGAATGAGGTAAAGTTTTTAGCACAAAATAAAAATAGATATTTGAATGTGAAAGCAAAGCTATATTAAGCAGTAAAATCTACACCTGATAATAAGCTTTTGATAGGACTTGAAAGCTTGTAGTTAAATTAAAAAAGTTATTTGTATTATGAAAAACTATTAAATTTGTGAATTTTATTGAAAAGTACTTATGTACAACTGGCTTAAAAAGACAGTTTTATCCTTTTTTTTTTAAATAGATGACACAAATGGTGCACCTACATGAGTATGGCAAAGTGAGTGCACTGAAATGAGACTGCATACATTCAGGACTTGTACATTAATTTATAATGAATCACTGAAACAGTGAATTGACTATGATAATTGAAAGAAGCCTTACTTGTAATCTCTTTAGTGAAAGTAGTCTGACAAAGGCTTACAAAAGGAAGAAATGGTATGTTTGTGCCTTCTCGTAACTCAAGGCATACTTTTTCAACTAATAATTGGATTTTAGAACTGCTTGCCTGAAGTTTATAGGATTCATTTTGGTGATGCTTCCTTTTATTTGTCAACAATTGTGTAGTTTCATATTCTGTTTTTCTTTGTCTATTTACTAAACATTCTTTATTGTGAATTTTATTTTTAAATACCCATGCTCAAATTTGTAGAATTACATTACATTAAGTAAGACAGTATGTTAACACCTACATTCTTTTTTTAATTTCATGTGTTTTTTTTCTGTATTTCCTCCTTATTTCTATTTGAATATTTTATGTGTTTTTGAATTCACTTGGTTATTTTCTTCGAGCTCAAACTTGGTTATTTTGTTCAGATTCAATGTCTATGCATAAATTATCCTACACCATTCACTGGGATTTATTTAAACCTTTTTTTAAATTTATTATACTGTTACTCTCCTACAACATAGTATATTTCTCTATATGTCTTTGACTGCATACTGATGTCTCTTACTGTTTTTCTTGGATACAGAAAATAAATATTTACTAGCAAAAGAATTGATTTCTAAGAATTTTTCAAGGTTACAAAGTAGTAAGAAATAATATATATATATAATTAACCACTGTTATTTTCTCAATGTTGTTACAATACTCTAATGAAGACTCCGTATGTTTAAAACAGTGCATTCCTTCATTGAAATAAAGCATTTTAAGGCTTTTTTAATACAAAAAAGTAGACTGATAGTAGGATTTTTAAAAATTTGTGTAATTTTTGGTAAAATTTTGTTTTCATTTTATATTTTTTTTCTGATTATTAAATGTTGCATATAGAATATTAGCTACAATAAACATGCAAATGGCTTCTATTCAGATAGAAGAAATATATTACAGGGACTGTATGTTTAATGGAAAAAATACATCAAGCATCAGTCTTTCTTATCAAAATTAATTTCAGATTAACTTTTATTTTTTGTAGCTTCAGCAAGGTGTTACATAACTTAATTTGTAAGGGTTACATGTCATAGTTTCCTTCTGATACTTTGTTTTTTGAAGTAAAAATCTCATATCTGTTTGGGCTCTGACAGTTTTGCATTGTATTTATATGCAAAGAACCATATTTAACAAAATGTTTAAAAACTGAGCATTATAAACTTGTAGCTATTATATATTACTGACAATTTTTAAAGTAAAGTATGTAATGTACATACAGTCATCATACGCATATTAATGTGTTTGACTTGATAGCATATCAAGCTATATTATTCAAAATTGTCTAGTATAGTTAGGTAGTTAGGTATGATAAGGAATCAGAGAAAGAGGTTTTATTTTAAACATATTACACCAATAATATATAGCATACTTAAGATTCATCTTGTTTATTTTGTTTCTATCCATTGACTGTAATAATGTTTACCTAAGCACATAAATGAGGAACAGTGTTAATAGCAGTTTGGTGAGAAATTTTTATCATTAGGTGTGAACTGCTGTAATACTCTGAAAATTATCTGGATAATTTTTGCCCGAGCATATCCTCATCTATATTATGGATTAATTTAGGTTGTAAAGAGTACTTCATTTTGAATAGTACAAGTAATTTAAACAAAAATGCAGATCTTAAAAAACTGTGGACATTAATAGTGAAGAAATATACTGAGGTTTTGCACCTCATTGTGTTCAGTGTCAGTAATACACTAAATCTAAACAAAAACAAATAACTATATTCCAGTTATCAAAACCAAATGTACCCAAAAATCTTGGATAAAAAAAAATAGTTAGTGGTATGGTATTAAATGGCTTTTGTTTTCTTATAATAATAATAACAGTTGTTTTGAGGCATTATTTATGATATTTGCATTAAATGAAAAATATGAAAAAATTTTAAATCAAAACTGTCACTTCAAAACAAAAAAGATAAGATGTTCATATGAATGAAATGAATATTTGAGACAGAAGTGCATAAACCTACGACATACAGAATGAGCTGACCAATGAAAACTTGCATATCAAAATAAAATATATTTATGTTAAGTTGTGTAGTGTTTTTACTCATAAAAAAATGTTAAACACAAATTTCAAACACTTTGCCAGAATTAAAAGTTTATTTTATGTATGTAAGAATCAAACATTGACAAACAGTTATATTACTCATTGGATTTTTCTTTGTAATAGTTTTAGTTAAATCATTAGCTGAAAAAACAACTGAATCATGCAGTAACAAGCTGCATTTCATTTTAGTCATAAAAATACTTCATGGTATTCATTTGGCTCATTTTACCCATATACAGTCAAATTATTTTAGCTTCATGCCTGTTAGGTTTTTATAGGGCTACGATTTTTTACAGTAGGTGTTTGTGATTTGTGAAGATAAATTTCAGCAATAAATGGACAGCACATAATCCACTTGTTTTAAAATAATATATTTAAAACAAGTCAAACATACATACAAATGTTCATTACACAGTTAATCACCACAGTTGTATCCATAGCTTTATATAATTGTCTCTTTTTGTCAAGAGTCCACACAGGCTGGTTCAGTTACTTTAGAACCCAATTAACAAGAATTATTCTTCTGTACTCTGTTATTACAATACAATCTGTAATTATTACATTTTCAAAGTTGCCACTATATACTCTGTATTGCTAAATTTGCAAACACAGTCTAAATCTATTTGACTATGTCTCTCACTAACTTTGCTTACTTTCACTAACTCACTTGCACTAATTTTGTCGCCTATATATGTATTGTCCAACTGAGGCCTAGAACTTTCTACAATGCCAATTAATGTGTTTAAGTCAGTGTAATATGAGAAGATAAAATGTATATTACTATGTTATAATGAAAAAGAATTATAAGTTATTTAAAGCAGCAACTATGTCTGAGAAAATAAATGTGTTTTTAAAATATTTTTTATTCACACCAATGATTTTTGAGGAGTCAACATAATATAAATTAGTGTGCCTAAAATCAGTCAAAATTAATAATTTAAAAAGAAAAGAAAGGACATTAGATAATCCATCTTTCAATTGTTGTTTTTCCCATGATAGATGGATTAGCAAATAGATGTGTTTCTTCACTAATTTCTTGAATATAGAACTAATATTATGTTTCATTTTGATAATATGTATTATTTCATGTTGTTTTTTTTTATCTTTTAACATAATTTCTGACCACAGAAAACATAAAACTTGAATGTTTGTATCACAAAAAGATTTAGGTGAACTTCCTCCAGAATTGAGAGACCAAATGATTAAGCAAGCTAAATCAGAGGAATGGTCTTCAAGTGAAATGGGCTCTAGTCATGTTTCCTTTTCTGGTCTCCCTGAGGATGAACAGTCAGAATTAGTCACCATTTCCACCACACTGGAATCAGAAGTAGCAGAGAGAAAAACTGAAGTAGACTCCCACATTGATGAGAAAGGTTAGAATAGTATGCTTATGTCAGTCTCTGTAGAATCTGATACTTACCAGTCAGTTTACCCTGTTCTTATTGCTGGCAGTTTCACATTTTCTGTTTTTTAACAATATCTTATCAAGTTTATTTTACTACACTTTTTGAATAAACTATTGCTACAATTCAATTTACGTGTATTTAAATTTAAAATGAACATTTATTTCTTACCAATGCTATATTTGTAGTTCAAGATATTCTTTGAAGTATGTAATACAAATTACTGTGATGAATCAAACAGTGGTTTACAAAATTAAATTATACTGGAGCAAAATATAATTTTTTTAACTTGTTGTGAAGAGGTTTTGTTCAGCCTGCTTGTAAAAAATCTCTAGTCAGGGTGTTGAAAGCCTACATGTAAATGAGTTTAACTGTGTTAAAAGTATTAACTCTCTCTTTAATTTTATTATCTCGGATTTATTAGTGGGAAAGAAATATAAATTTGAAGTTCTTTTGATTAAAGGTAATAGATGTTAAAGTGCTCATTATTTGAATATGCAATCTTTTTAATAAAGCAATTTACAATTTTATATTTGTCGTAGCTATCACTTTCTGTGCTGTTTTTCTTCCATTGGTATGTCTGACCATAAAAAGTAAAACAAAAGGTATTAGTTGAGACTTGCTTGTAAATAGTATGTTTAAGTACTTGGTATTAAAAAGGTCAATGTATAGCTAATCATCTGAACCTCTAACCCTTTTTCAGTGGTAGCAGGAAAAGTTAGATACTAAAGAAATAATTTTTTCATGTATATGTACTTAGCTCTCAAAGACATAAAACACAAACAAAAATGGTTAGCTACTGCATGATGGGAAAGGTATTCGTAGGTTTTCTCTGTGTTTTGTAATGTTGCTGGTCTCAGCCAATAGTTAACTTGATAATGGCTCAATGTTTGACATGGTGCCTTGTGGTGCTTCTTTTGATTGTGCAGTTACCTCCTGCTTTAGAAATACTTCATACCACTTGGGTTTGTTGCTTGAGGCCTTTTGATAGTGGTAAGCTTTTATCTAATATTCCTAGTTTCTGTTCATTCACAGATATAAAATTGATTAAACTCATAATTTTTTCTTTAGTGCTTAGAAAACCTAACTGGAAGTAAATCTGTGATTTTTGCCAACATCTTTAGCAAATAAATCTTACTATACTTTTTGAATAAACTAACACTGCAATTCATTTTAACCGTATTTAAAAATATTGAGTGAGCATGTTTCTGCAGTAAGCATTTATTTCTTACCAGTGCTGTATTTGTAGCTCAAGATATTCTTTGAAGTATGTAATACACATCACAGTGATAAATCAAATTTGGTATTGCAAAATTATATTGTTCTGAAATGTAAGCAAAATGGAGTTTTTTAAACTTGTGAAAAGTTTATACAAAAAGTAATTAGTTATGCAAAAACAATCCCCCCAAAATTTTCTAGTTCAGATAATTCAGTCTGTGTGAAGGGCAGAAATTATATGTGAAATGCTTTTTTGAGGATATTGTAGTAACCCATGTACTTTTATATACTTTTTTGGAATGCTAACAAATAGGCATTTTTATTTATTTGTAACCTGTTCGCTGTAATTTGACATTTCATGACAGGGTTTTGTTTAACTATGTCAGAAAAAGAGTTGAAATTATAAGATTTTGGTTTCAAGATGTTTATAAGAATTATTTGTTACTAGTTTTAATTATGCCCCTATACTAGAATCTGTGTTGGTCTAAAAAAAATCAAAAAATTGTTAGAATTTTTTTTTAAAAACAGAACAGTCTGATTATGGTTCTTTCACTAGAACTTAAGGAAACAATTACAAGTGAGGTTACATGTTGCTTCAAAAATAGAAAATGCTGTAAACTGCCAGTTTCAGGCTCTGATTTGGTAAAGATAATTTTATTCATGTAATTGATATTATTGTTGGAGAGTGTAGCAGCTTTTTAGCTGTATATATATATATTATATAGGAAATTACATTATTTACACTTTGTGACTGATGTAATTGAATGTTATTCTCCTGAAAATAAGAATGCAAGATGCAATTTCAAGCACTTGTAAACTTATTAAAATCTGAACATATTGAAATATTCTCCAATATTTTATTCAATATTATTTTTATTTACCAAAATACAGAATTTTTTTTAAATGTTATTTTCATTTTTGCTAATTGGAAAACCCAATGTAGGGCATTGATTAGCATCCTAAGATTAACCTATTTTTGCTATGGTACCATCATTTATTTCTTTTCTTTAAGAAACAAAATTGTTTAATGCCAGTCTGTTTAGTCTTATACGCTGTGTTTTTGAAATAGGACATTAATTTCTTTCTCTTATTCTTTTCAATAATTTTCTTAAATTATTTTTGCCACCTTACTGAGTTTGATGTTGAGTGATTAATTTGTTTGTCTGAGAAACTTGCTAGAAGGTAATTTATATGCTTGTAATAATAATAATTATTTGATATGAAGTTTAATTAATACACAACTAGAAGAGTATTCCAGTTTCTTGAATGTATGTTTGATCTAGCTTTAATAGTCTGGATTACTTTCTCCTAATACAATAGGCATTTCTTTGTTCAACATTAATTGCTACCACTAACCAAACTGCACATTAGTCATTTCTAATATTTCATTTGTAGTTGCTTCCATAATTCCAAAAATTATTTGTTTGAATATTGTTTTCCTGAGTTTCTCCAATTCCCTGTTTTAAATATTATATTCCCCCCCCCCCTTTTTGTTGACAATATTTAACCATGAAAAATCCAAGTTTAGACATAAATTTTCCAGTTTTTAAATCTAGGTTTGTATAATTGTCAATCTTTTCAGTTACTTTTATGCTGAATTAGAAAAAAATTATGGTTTGTATTTTGATTTTACTCATGCTTGTTTGGGACTAACAGTTTCTTATAGCTTTAACTTACAGTAAACATATCTGAATGATATTCATTGTTTCAAATAATTTAGATATTTCATTAACATAAGAGTGGATATTCCAACAAAAATATTTACATGATATCTTAAATTATATTGCATTAAAATTATAGATTGAGAGATTCAACCTATATAGGTAACACTCTCAAAAGTTCACCAAATATGCATTCAATTGTATATGATATGACAGTTCTTATGTTACTTTTTTAATGTGTTACTGTTGATCGGGTTTTCAAAAGGTGATAACAATTTTTGCGATGCTTATATTTAGGTATTGTAAATACTGATTGGCATAAAATCAAGCACATCAATTACATATTGAATAGAGAATTAAAGGAAAAATAAAAAATATGCAAAACTGAAATCAACATAAAAGTGCAATAGTACTTTTTGTTGGTTAAACTGAATATATTATAACACCCTATGAAGCTGTAATTTTTATGTTATAAGAGTTTTGCACAAAGGAACTTTTCTACTGTGTTTACTAAAAAAATTATTTGTTGTCATTTAACTCATTTACCAGAGTATTTGACAAGCAACAAGTGGGAGGTTATTCTTAATGATACACACAAAAATTATTTCCTCAAAAACTTTGTTGTTACTCATGATACAATAATACTAGAGCATAATTAATGTATAACTAAATGTGTTGAAAATGGGATCTCATATGTTATTTTGCATGAGCAAAAGATCTAAATTGATGGCAAACTCACAGATTTGAACATGTTAACCTGCCTTGTGTGCTAGCATGCCTGTGTACTCACCTTAAAATGCACTTGAATAAGTAGAGGCTTGAGTGCAGTCGGTGAGATTAACCAATAGGTGGCAACAATCAAAATGTAGTTCACGACTGTTAAATATATTTATATGCATCTTCTGTAAACCATATTACAGAATCTATGGAAGGTGACATGCAGATTGCTACAGAATCTTCTATTTTGCTGCCACTGGATAGTCTTATGGTTCCAGTAGAAAAAGTTGAAGAAAGTACACAAAAGGAAAATAAACAAAAAGAAACTGTCACTTCAATAAGAGAGGGGGATAATAGAAATCAAATGAGATCTGTTACGGATGATGTAAATGAGAAACAAGTTCCAATGATTTCAAGAGGCAAGAAGTATCGACTGTCAAATCAGACTTTGAAACCATCAGTGGATACACTAAAATATGAAAATGAATTTCAACCTAATCAAGAACAACCAGCACCTTCTGTCACTACTCCATCGATTGAAGTTCTTATGGACCGAAAAGTTTTTGATATTACCACCTGTCAAGCCACTTCAGAAAGTAAGGTTACTGTTCCATCTTCCAGTGTAGTATATCCACTTGATATTTACTTTAAGACTGAATCACAGATTCAGATTTCTTCTGGATCAGGATCTTTCTCCTCTAAGTCTTCTCAAGAGCAAGTTGATGTTGGAATTGAAACTGACTCTCAGAATCGATTAGACAGAGGAAATAGTCCAATTTCTCTACCAAGTATGATTGATACTGCTGTTAGTCCAATTGTTGATAGTCAAAATGGAAAATATGAAGATAAGCAGCGTGATCAGGAGAACACACCACTGACAGATAAGTGTATTAATAAAACTGAAATACTTGTTGATAGTAACTCATTAGGAAATAGTGAAGACATTGAACCACATATTTCAACTCCTCAGGATGATTGTTTTGAAAAACATGAAGCAAAAGATGAATTGAAAATTTTGCCATTTTTTCAAGTTATGATTCTTAACAATGAAAGCTCTGAAACAAAAATTAAACTTGAAACAGAACAGTCAGTGGGAAATGAACAATTAACTCACACTAAGGATAATTTTGTAATTGAAAATGAACCTCAAGAATTCTCATATACTGAAAAAGGTGTGCAAGAGTTTGAAACTCAGGTTGCATTGGAAAAACAAAGCTTGATTGACATTAGTGACAGAAGTCTCTCAGAAAATGAAGCTAAAGACAATCAATCTGAAGATATAGAGCAAAAAAATAAAACTGATTGTACTATCTCAACCCAAACATCAGCAAATATAGCTGATACTCTACTTGCAACTATGGTTGAAGCTCAGTGCTTGGAAGATTTTAAGCATTTCATTGATATTTACAAAGATGAGATTGATTTATTGAACACACCAACAGAAACAGAAGAATTCATACATAATCATGAATTACTGTCTGAGGTTCAAGTACCTTTAGATGACAATGAATGTAAAGAATCTACCCTAAGTGCTTATTCATGTAGTATGCATCAAAAGGAAGAATCTGAGGAAGAATTTTCACCTGTGATTCTAATTTCACCAGAAATGCCCCCTCAAATGCATTTTGTAACAAAACCAGTTGAAGATAAGACTTTGACAAATACTGAAAAAATGTATCTGCTGAGAATGCCATTTCAGACAAACAAATCTGCAGATATTGAATCCAGTAGTTTTACACACAAGTGTATGAATGGACAGAAATCCCGTGATATTGATGATAATACTTTGCAAGAAAATATAAATGATAATAGCACTGTAGCAAATGAACTAATTAGCTCAGAAAATTGTGTTGGTGCACATGTTTCAGAAGTGTTTTCACTCAAAAGACAAGCTAAAGAAACTGAGTCCAATAAACCAACTCCTTTTCAAAGTTTGTCAGGTTTTGAACAGAAACATATACTAGAAGCTGAAAATTCAGATTTATTTAATAATTATCTTTCACCAGTTAAAAGTAAAGAATCTATTTTAACAAACATGAACATGCAGCATGATAAATATTTAGGGAAAGGGTTACTACTAGATGAGAGTGAACTACTCGGTGAAAGTGAAGCTGTAGAAGTTATCATAGAAAGTAAACCTACTTGTCAAGTTAACAGAAGCCATCAACAAACTGAACCAAAAAAAGAATTTACAAGTTCTTTACTGATTGATAATGATAAAAAAATTTCAGAACCAAAAGAAGAGTGCAGTGACAAAAATGGGCCTAGAACTGATACTTGTAGTAATCTTATTATTCAACAAGACATGTGTTTATCTGATATTGTTTCTGAAGAAACCACATATGAGGAAGAAAATAAAACAAATGTTCAAACTCGGCCTTCAGAAGAAAACGTTTCAGCCATTGATGAAAGCAAAGATGTTGGGTCAAAAGTTGAAACTAGTATTTCAGTTGAAACTAAAGAAACATCTTTACCTATGTACATACTTGAAATTTCTAGGGATTTAGAGATTCCTATTGAAGACAATAACTTGACTGATGTTGGGCTTTTACCAGACATTTTACAGTTGAATGATATTAAGCAAAAAGATGACAGAGAAATGTCTGTTAGTGATGTAGAAAGTAATTTATTAGGAACATCACATTTTGATAAGAAGAACAATGAATGTTTTATAAGGCCATGTGAAGTATTTTCTACTGCTGAAAGTAATGAGTTAATTGGTGGTGCAGAAAGAGTTCCACAAAAGCTATTGCCTTGTGAAGGCGGGGATGTAGAAGATATAAATTCTTCTAAGGAAAATGATACTGTGAATGGTAATACAAATTCTAACTTACCAGAAACTACATTTTCAGAGAATGAAATGATTCCAACTGAAGTGCATAAATTTGACAATAAAAGTGAGAGGAAAGTACCAATAGTTATACTTGGTCCAAATGAAGATATTAACATTACCCAACCACATGAAAGAATTTATTATGTTGGGACAAGTGTTTCAAACTTAAATGACCAAACTAGTGAAAGAAGTAAAATGGATGATGAAGCTCATCTTTCTTTTAAACATCTAAATAATGATGAAAGAGAGCTAATAGCCATTTCACAACAGAACAACATGGAAATAGAAAAGACTGAATCTGATGCTATAATCAAACTACCTACTGAAACTGGAATTTCCTATGACAATAATGATAGATCATCAACAAATGATAAATCTCAAGAAAGGGAAAGCAATCAGGATGAGAAGAATGTATTTGTAAGAGAGAAAAATATGTCTACACGTGTTCCAGAGGAGGAAAAGATTGCTGACAAACTTGAACAAAAGAATGGAATTTCTACTGAAGTTCAAAATGTTATGAGTGGTTCTAATAAAAATATTACCAGTTTGGAAGAATTTACTGACATTTATCTTAAACATTCAAGTATTAATGACAGTGAAGAAAGGGCACTGTTAGGAATTAGCTCATTAGACAATGAACAGCATGATGAATTAAAAGGTCATAGTGAACTTTCCACTGAAAAGTTTAGTGTAATTAACAGTGAAGAAAGATTACTAGATCATGTAAATCAAGGGAATAAACATTCTGAAAAGAATATGCTACCTGATAGTCATGAACTTGATATTCTTAGTGAAGATATATTCCCGGTAACTGCACTTAAACAAGAAAGAAAATTTGATGAATCAGAATATTTTATTAACATTGAAGAAAATTTGGAACCAAAAAAATCACAGGAAAAAAAATACATAGAAAAGACAGATGAAACTATAATGTCATTAGACAGTTGTGGGCCTAAAGGTAGAACTGATGCCCCTCCTCCTCAAGAACAGGCTTTGAGTATCTTTGATGAGAAAGTGCCTTTGGTGATATTAGAGAAAACAGATGTGTATCTAGAAGTAAAACCAAAATGGGAAACAAAGGCCTGTCATGAAAAAACATTGCTTGCTGATCATCACAAAAATTCTGGAAAAGCAATCTGTGAAGATGAAATAATAGAATATCAAGAAAAAACAGGTTTGTCACATTTAGAACCTGGACTTTTCCTGAAAGGAAAAAGTTTCAAGGATAATGATAAAGAATCTGAGCTATCAGAAATGCAACCCAGAAAGGATGAGAAAGAAAATATGCCAGATAAAAATATAATTGAAACAACAGATTCCCAAAATGAAAAGCACATTCAGAAGATTGACACAAAAGATGAAAGAGGCACATCTATTGACTACCAAAACTTGATTTACATAAACTGCCCCCCTTCAAAAATGAAGTTTGATAAGGAAGAACAGAAAACAGAAGTCTGTTTTGAGTACCAAAATGTGGTTGACAACAAAGAAGAACATTTGAGCAAAATGTTATCTCAAACAGAAGAAGATGATTCAATGGATAGAATTGACATTGTTCAGAGCCAAAATTTGGTTGAAGAACAGACCATAAGTTTTGGAAATTTGCAAGACAGTGAACCAGTGTATGAAACTGAGATGTTTGAGAAAGATCAAAGTTCATATTTTATTGAAAAAGACATGACAGAAACCTGCAAAAGTGAAAAAACTAAACTAGGATTGAAAACTGACAAGACAGATCTGATTAATTACTGTGTTGAGGCTGGTCTTTCAGTATGGAAACCACAAGTGTGCCATCCAGGAAAAGAAAATAGTTTAACAGTTGAATCTAACATTGATTTTGATTCTTTAAATTTGGATAACTATAAAAACAGACAACTCCCAGAAGTTGAAAGTCATAAAAAAAATTATGTTTTGGAAAGTGATCAACAAGAGGAATATTCCAAGCTGGCAGATTGCAAAGCAAATGTAGTCATTCATAAGAATGAAATTACAAAAGAGAAGGATGATGATATCACTACAGATAATGAAATGATCAAAAGTATGATCTGCTCAGAAGATCTGTCTCAGCAGAATAGCACTGATGATTGTGAAAATCCTAGATATGACACAAATGTACAGACTGATAAAGGTTTTATCTCTGGTATGTCAACCTTTGAAAATCAGTCTCTACTTTCTTGTGTAGACAAAATAAAAAATCTTATTCTAGAACAAAAGGAATTAAGGGATGAAACTGAAGCCACTCTAGAGCCAGATCCTCAAGAACAATCGGAAAGAACTGAAAAGGAAGTTACTCTGACCATTCTCCGGCAAATTATTGACTTAGCTGATCAAATGAGAAAAGTCTTACAGGCTCTTGGAAGAAGTCACTTGGGCTCAAATGTTTTAAGCTCGGTATCAGGAGCAACCCTTGGACACATCTCATTTCATTCAAACATAAAAAACAGTTTAGATGCTAAATCTTCTGCAGCTGCTGTCAGCAGGTCCCATTCAGAAGATTCTTCAAATAATGAAGAGGTAATTCTGCCTGTGACTTCACCACCTAACAGTTTGACAGATAATGCTTATGAGTCCTTGAATGGTGTTAAAATTCCACAAACTGAAGAATCTGTAACTTCTACTCAGGAAAGTATAAGAATAGAAGAGCAGGTAGTTGAAAGTAGCTCATCTTCAGGCAGTGGTGCACAAAATCATTAAAATATGTTGTGTCAAGATCTTTGAAGCTGATAACTATGCAAAACACTTATGCATGGAAATTCACACTTTTTTAAATTGGTAATTTTAAGAGCGTGAACTCTTAATTTGATTTGAAGCTTTATATTAGTTTATAAGCATACATGCTGTTCTTTATATGCTTCTGAGCTTTAATTATTTTTTCATGTAGGAACTTTTAATGTGTTTAACACAACTATATTGCAACTGATAGACTATTTGTAAAGTACGGAGTGAGTTAATATTAATTAAAAGAATAACTGAGTGTGTCTTAAAAGTGCTTTCCAAATTGTAAAATTTGTACTGAGTGTTTTTCATTTTGCTGGTTTTCATTATTTTACAGCATTATAAAATGTACTTTATTATACAGATCAATTGGAAGTTGACAATTTTATCTGAAGAATTTTACAGTTGCTGAAATATTCAAACATATTTACTTAAAAAATATAATAATGTAAACAATATTTGCACTGCAGATCATCATTGTTTCTCACAGGAACAATTTTTCAAGATTCATTTTAATTTTGTTTCAAAATTTCTTTTTTAAATTTAAAGATGTAAAACTAATAACCACACAAACTAGACCAACAATACAGCATTCTGTGTAGGGGCCATCTTTACTCAAAAATGTTGTGTGCTACATAGATGAACAATTATTTCAGGTCAGCAAACTAAATCAAGTATAGAGATTACGTTTGCTAAGATTCTTCAAGAAGAATTTTCACTTTCACGGAATAAATCACCAAACTGCTGCTATTTATCACCTGTAAAAGAAACTATCAAAAGAAAAATGCACCTGTGAGAGAATACATCCAGAATGTTTTAACTATTATAGTGCAAGTGAATTCAAAGATACACATGTTTCACAGTCTAAAAGTATGTCTGAAAATAAGAGAAGTATTTACAGTAAAATGCCTATTTTTTGTTTAAAAAGTTCAAATTTTTCTTATCAGCCTTTACAGCAAATTGAAAGATCATCTTTAACTAGTAGTGGTGTCAGTCATGTTGAACAAAACATCCAGCAGTCTGGTTTATATGTAAACATAAATCTTGATGACAATCCTGATCAGTTATTAACTAAGTTTGAATCTTCAACAGAAGAAGAAGGTATTGAATATTCTTCAGAAGGAACTTCTAGTGTTAAAAATTGTTCTGTAGAACAGTTCACTAATGTTATAGATAAAACAGAATTCACACAAATTATGGAACAACAAAATATGATGCCAAGTCATTGTATGGAAGGTGCAATCTCATTTCCTGAACATGACGTAAATAGCTTAACAGATTATGAAATGTTTGTTTGTTCAGGGGAAGAAGATGCAGAATATACTGATGATAACAATTCATTCATTGAATTAGATATAGAAGTTGGTGACTTAACAGTTGTGAGAGATGGGGAGCTACATGTTGTGCATATAAAGGAGGATTCTGATGTGGATTTAAGTGAAACAGCCAAAAATGAAGTAAAAACAAAATTATTTAGCTGTTTGCAAAAAGAACCACCAATTATACAGGTTACATCTGTACCAGAAATCTGTTTCTCTCAAGGACAAACTTCAAAAACTGATAAAAGAGTTAATGAAAATAATTCTAAGACTTTAGTAGATTCTCAAGCAATGAATCTGTCATTTGATAAAGTTGGAGAAACATATGTTGAAAACATGATAGTTTCTCAAGAAGATAATTACCAATCAGATAAGTCAAAATGCAAATTGGATACTTTGATATGTGATAATATTCATAAAATGGAAGAATATTTTGATGGTCTAGTTAAAAGCAAGGATGAACTTAGAGAAAAACCAAATATTAAAGGAAAAGATCATCAGGTAAATACTGAGACAGAAAACATTTCTTCTTTAGGAGATGAAGTAGAATTTTTAGATGAGAAATTTAGTAATCAAGATATTGAAGCAATTAATGTTGATAGTGAATTTATTAAGATCCTTGAAAATGTCACAGTTAAGAGTTCTAGTAGATGTCAGTCAGATGTGACATGGTTCTTTGGCAAAAAGCACAATGATGAGGTAGATGATGTAGGTTATCATCGCAGGTTGACACTTCCTGTCATAGAAAAAGAACCTACAACTGACACAGAAGAACTAAGTGATGTGGAACAAGTGCAAGTGGTTAGCACTAAAGAAAGTAAAAATTTCAGGTTTATCAGTGAGTTGGAAAGGCCACTATTTTCAGCAACATTTTTGCCTTTGAGGAGACTTTCATATGAAGCATCTACTGACTTAGAGGAATTAAGTGAAGACGACAAAATAGAGAGAGTTAAAAACATGATTGTTAACCATACTCAACAGAAATTCAGTGTGAAATCCAAGAAACCGTTTTCAATTCAGCATTTCAATGTATTTAATTTTAGCAAAATAAAAGACAAGGATGCAAATGTTGTAGAAGGATCACCTAGAAATGTGAGAAGTAATACTTTAGCACCTGTGTCTTTACAAAGCAAACAAAGTGTGGGTATGGAACACACAACTGATGATAAATTTCTGTATAAAGATAAAAAGAAATCAGGAAATGATGAAGGCAATGTGAAAGGCAATCCTCAGAAAGCTTATACTCAAATACAAGAACAATCTGCATCTTATCATTCTTTGTCATTAAATTACATTCTCAAGGAACCAGTAACAAATGTGGAAGATTTAACTGAACATGATAAAGAAGAAAACAGTTATAAAAAGACCTTTGTTCCTAATGAATTTTTAACATTGAATGATATGTTACAAGAACAAGCTACTGATGTTGAGGAGTTAAGTGGAGATGAGGAAGAATGGGATAAGAAACCTCAAACAATATATAGACGATTAAGAAAACCATCTGCTCCTGATGCTATTTTGACATTGAATGATATGTTACAAGAACCAATTACGGAAGTTGAGGAGTTAAGTGGAGATGAGGAAGAACTGGATAAGAAATCTCAAACAATATATAGACAGTTAAGAAAACCATCTGCTCCTGATGCTATTTTGACATTGAATGATATGTTACAAGAACCAATTACGGAAGTTGAGGAGTTAAGTGGAGATGAGGAAGAACTGGATAAGAAATCTCAAACAATATATAGACAGTTAAGAAAACCATCTGCTCCTGATGCTATTTTGACATTGAATGATATGTTACAAGAACCAGTTACAGAAGTTGAGGAGTTAAGTGGAGATGTAGTACTAGATAAGAAATCTCAGACATCACACAGACAATTAAGAAACTCATCTGCTCCTGATGCTCTTTTGACATTGAATAATGTATTACAAGAACCAGTTACTGATGTTGAGGAGTTAAGTGAAGATGAGAAAGAACTAGATAAGAAACCTCAGACATCATACAGACAGTTAAGAAAACCATCTGCTCCTGATGCTATTTTAACTTTGAATGATATGTTACAAGAACCAGTAGCTGATATGGAAGAATTAAGTGGCTATGAGGAGCCAATTTGTGAATATGATGTTAAAAAAGCATTTTATACATGTATTAATACAGTGAATGAACCTTATTTGGGCATTAAAAATACATTTTTTAATACTTATCTACATGCAAAAGTAAGCTTGTCAGAATCTGTATCTGATATTGATTACTTAAGTGATGACAAATATTCAAAAAGCTCTATTAATATAGACAGGGATGTAACTTCTGTGGAGCTGTCCTTTAAAGATTTACGAGACTCGAGAAAAGATTCAGGTGTGTTGTTAGAAGATGAGGATGAAAAACAACCTTTTTCTAAGATAACAAATGTAGGTACTGATTCTGAAGACATAACTGCATCAGAAGAAGAAAATGATACAATGAGGAACTTTCATCAATCCACAGTATTTCTTTTTGAACAAAACCCGTATTATACTACTGAAGAAAAACAGAAATGTGTCTTTCCCCAAAGTATTGATGAAGAAAGGCAATCAAAGGAGTGTGTACATTCAAATACTGATCTTGCAGATGCTATAACAGAGTCTGAAGACATGTTTTTTTCAGATTACGAGATACCTGTTTCTTATTTAGAAAACAGCGGTTGTCATTTCGACTTGAATCAAAATGTTAAATATACTGATAATTCAGCTATATCAGGCTTAGCAAGTGAGACTAGCACACCCCAGCGAAATTATTTGAAAATACCCATATCAGATGTAGACCTGCACACCGACACAGAAGATATGGTTTTGTCAGATGTTGATGATTCCATGTCTAGAAGAAATTCACAGCAGTTAGAGACTTTACATGAAGAGCCAGAATCAAGGGAAATTGTTGAAGATTTGGAAATTCAAAAAGTAGATAAAAACTATGAGAAAAGTATTAAAAAAATACAAAGTAGAAGAAAAGATAAAAATTACTTTAGGTCATCAATTGATATTTCAGCACAACATTCTGAAATTGTTTCCAGGGGATACATTCATGAAAAAGAAAATAATGTCTGTGTATGTGTTAAGCCTTATAATGGAGATATAATAAATAATTTAGATCCAGAATTCAGTGTTTGCATAGATAAAAGAAATAGAGATACAGAAGTTAAGCTTCAGTTGGAGAATTTCAAGCATAATATGGAGTTCCAGACTGATGATCTACCACCAGCAACAGGTACTGAAAGTTTACTTTTTTACTGACCACAGCCAAGACCTCTCCTTAGCATGATTCAGTGGATAAATGGTTTCCTCTACTCCTAGCATTCCTAGAAAATATGAAACTGTTAGCAAAATTTCCATCATAAAGAAATAATTCTAACCCATTATATGCAATATATGCTTACCTTCCTCTGTGTGTAGTAAACTAATATAAAGTAAATAATGAGTAAAAATTATTTCATTACCTTGGAAATAATTGCATCATTTGTGTTAGTTTATGAATAATAGAAAATATTAGTAAAGTAAACAGATTAATTTGAAGTTCTTAAAAATATTATATATATATATATATATATATAGTAAGTAAAAATAAAAGTTTTACTTATATAGTA